TGCAGTGGACTGTGACAGGGGAGACATCCCTGAGAACAGGCCATCTTCGTGTATCTGGGCCCCTGATGTCTTCTCACCCGACACCACCAGGTCCAGGGTGTCAGCTGGTGTTCACCAACCACTGTGGCTGTGATAAAAACAAAGCCCATTGCTGTCAAGTCAATTCTGACTCATAACGCCCCTATAGGATAGAATAGAACTGCCCCATAGTGTTTCCAAAGAGCGGCTCGAGGATTTAAAATTCCCATCTTTTGGTTAGCAGCCAAGCTCTTAACCACTGCACCACCAGGGCTACGTGGCTGTGATAGTAACAGTGCTATTGGCCCGTAGACTCCTTTCCCAAGAATAGGATGGAGAACATGGTCTTGTTCCTGGGCCTCAGTGGTTTCTCAGTGTTCCAGTGTGATGGACTTCCATCTCTATCCAGATGGTACTCCTCGGCCTCCAGGGAACCCGACAGCAGATGATCAATGTCTCCCCAAAAGTTATCACTCAGGCTGGCTCAGCCCAGATGGTGAGTGTGGAGAGGTCCCTGAGAGGGAATCAGCAGCCGAAATCCCAACATTTCCCCCTTTCACTCCCTCACCTCTCATCCTCAGGACCCTCCTAGGATTCTGAGACCCTCCCAGGATTCTCCACCAATCTGTTCTCCATCCCCAGCTGCCTGGTGGTGGCATCTTGTGCCCAGTGAGGAGATGGGGCCTGGGAAAATTGGGGAAGGACTTACTTGCCTCCACTTGAATCCTCTGGCCCAGACTCAGCCCTGGAAGAGAGATCCAGGTAAGAAATTTGTCCCCTAAATCCTGAGCAGATCCTCTCTTCCCCTTGAGCCTCCTGAACCCCTAGAGTCTTCTGATAGTCCAGGTTCTGTGTGTGGGGTGGGGCTCTTTCAGACTAGTGTTTCCCCTACCTTTTTTCACATCTCACCTAGGTAGAGCAGGATAGTGATGTTGAGGGTCATGGCATCTCCTCATACTGACCCCAGCTAGGCAGATGATTGAGATCACAGAGCTCAGCAGGAAAGACTGATGCACAGGGCGTGGCCACTGGGAGGCTGGGACCTACCTGTCATGGGTGGTTATATCAGCAGCCCTATGCGAAGGGAAACAGTCTCTCCCCAGGGGCCTGGCTTTTGGTTCATCAGAGCTGGAGCTGAGATGACACCAGGCACTTTGAAGGCATTGTAAACAAAAATGAGGTCTCCCTTGATCTTGGCCACTGTCTGCCTGACATATCTTCATCTGAAAAGTTCCAGCTTAGCAGCTAATATACCCCAGTGCCAATCCAGTGCGAGTCTCTCACAGGCTGAGTGTGACCAAGGAGATGTCATCTCCCTTCTCAGAAGCTCTTTCCACAGGGACACCCTCCACTCCTTCAGCACTCCTGTCAACATGTTGTTACTAGGCTCTTACCATAGCTAGTCATCATGCCAGTCCCTGGAGACGGTTTTTCGGAAGACACAGATTCGTAGTCTGCCCTGCAGAGCTCAGATCACAGAGGCCAACCTTCAACAACTAATTACAGAGTTAAAGTCTAGTTATACTGTGGTTATGAGTACAAAGAATAGTACAGGGAAATATGGTTTATTCATAATAGCTGCAAATCTGCAACAACTCAAATATCCATCAACTGGTTAATGAATATGCAATTTTCATATATCCATACTGAGGGATACTACTTTTTAAAAAAAGGAAAAGAGACTGTTATTGATACAGTCAACGACATGAATGGATCTTAAACTCATTTCTATGCGGGAAAAATCCACATACAAAACACTGTACTACAAGTTTTGAACTTAATGACATTCTAGACAGACAAAAAACAGAATGATAAAATTAAGATCAGGGTTTTCTTGTGGCTCAGCATGAAAGGAGATTTACTGTAAGGGTCTCGAGGGCACATTTTAAGATGAAAATATTCTAATCCTGACTGTGGTGTTGGTAACCCGGTGTTCACATTTGCCAAACTCACTGAAGTGATACATTTTTATTTTCAATAAATTGTTGTTGTTGTTGTTAGCTGCTGTCCAGTTGATTCTGACTCATAGAGACCTTAGGTACAACAGAATGAAACACTGCCTGGTCCTGTGGCATCCTCATGATAGTTGTTATGCTTGAGCCCCTTGTTGCAGCCTCTATGTCAACTCATCTTGTTGGGGGTCTTCCTCTTTTTTGCTGACCCTCCACTTTACCAAGCATGATGTCCTTCTCCGGGGACTGGTCCCTCCTGATAACATGTCCAAATATGTGAGACGAAGTCTCGTCATTTTTGCTTCTAAGGAGCATTCTGGCTGTACTTCTTCCAAGACAGATTTGATGTAAATTATACATCAATAAATTGTCATAAAAAACTTAGAGATTGTAGCCATAATTAGTTATTAGAGAAAATTGAATACCTTAACTGCATTTAACAAAAGAATAATGAGTGATTGAAAATCCATTTTATGTTCAAATCAATAACTTAGGAAACATCAATAACAAAAGAATAACACCATAAAAATAAAAAAAATCGTCTTTTATTTCCCTAAGCATATTAAATGTGTTTATTATTGCTGTGGATCTGATTAATACATTATCAGAAGCAATTACAGTCACTTTGTTTCTGTAGGCCTTTTCCCAGTTTGTTTAGAAATTTTTGACTCTAAGTCACTAATTGTCCTTGGGAATGTGAGGCTTCTTTAAAGCCTAAGCTGAAAGTGGGTTTCTGCAGTGGGGATTTCTCTAGCTTCTAGTAGGTGCCTGGAGACACCTACAATAAAGGCTCATTCAAATGCAATTATCTACCTTAAAGTATTTTTTAAATATAATTTATTTTATTGTCTGTTGTTGTTGAGAATATACAAAGCAGAATATACACTAATTCAACAGTTTCTACATGTAGAATTCAGTAACATTGATTATTCTTTGAGTTGTGTAAACATTCTCACCCTCCTTTTCTGAGTTATTCCTCTCCCTATAAACAACCACACTTCCTCCTAAATTTCCTGTCTAATCAAAAGCTGGACAGTGAGCTGAGAGAGCTGAGCAGAGCAGAATGGAGCTGAGAGCTGTTACACTGTCTATGAGGAGGGCAGTTAGTAACTGACAGAAGTGCCAGGCAGAGCTGAACTGGTCTTCAGAGAAATGGTGCAAGTAGTCCTGAAGCTGCCAGCTAAGAGCTTGGCCAGTTATCTGAGAGAGTTGAGCTGAGAAGAGCCTCTACAGAGAGAGCAGGATCTCAGATGGTGGAGAGGGTGACGGGCAAGAGGCTGACGGTGGAGAGAGTGATGGTGGAGAGCAGCTAAAAGAGATGCTGCTGAGAGAACTGGAGCTGAGAGAGATGTCGGTTAAGAGCTGGGCCAGTTAATTGAGAGAGCTGAGCTGAGAAGAGCCACTCCTGAGGATGCAGTAGCTCAGATGATGGAGATGCCAATCAAGGACAGGCCAACCGCAGAGACACCTTTGGCAGAGAGCCTGATGGCAGAGAGCCCAATGGCGAAGAGCCCAATGGTGGAGAGGCCTGATGCAGCTGAGAGAGCTGCAGCTGATAAAGCTGCTGGCTAAGAGCTTGGCTATTTATCTGAAAGAGGTGCAGATCCAAGACTGAGCTGAGAGGCTGATGGCTGAGAGGCCAGTGGTGGAGAGCGTGGAGATGGAGAGCCCTGATGGCAGAGAGACTGACGAATGATGTTATAGAACTTTTCCTGGTTGAAAAGTTCCCTGATTGGTGAGAGTGAACATTTGTTCTCAGGAGGGCAAGTCAGGCCTTGAGACATTGAGGCTCCATGCTGGAACCCCTCTTGGACCTCACCATATTGCATTTTTTCTTTTATATCCTTATATGTTTATAAATTTCTCTGTTTTATTAAAGTTGTTATTGCAGATGTGTGTTTCTGTGAGTTCAGTGAGAGTTGCAAGAAATTATTGAACCCAGAGAGAATTAGAGAGTGCCATGAGGGGAGCAGCTGGTGTCAGAAATAATAGAGAAGTGGGAAGGTGAAGGTATACTTAATCTCTGCCATATAGGAACCAGCTTGATGCTGATTCTTTTTCTAAAATTTATTTTCTGTTTTTGTTGAGAATATACACAGCAGAATGTACACCAATTCTGCAATTTCTACATGTGCAATTTAGTCACAGTGATTACATTCTTCAAGTTGTGTAACCATTCCCACCCTCCTCTTCCTAATTGTTCCTCCCCCATTAACATAAGCTCACTGCCCCCTTAGTTTCCTATCTAAACTTTCAAATCGCTGTTGTCAATTTGATCCTTTATAGACATATCTTAATAGAGCACAATGCTGAAGACAGACATATTTTACTAGTTAAGCTAAATTATTGTTTGGTTTTGAGATTTCAGGGGATATTTTGGTTTTAAAGTTTAAAGGTTATCTCAAGACAATAGTTTTGGGGGTTCATCAAGCCTCCATGGCTCCAGAAAATCTGGATTCCATGATAATTTGAAATGTTTTTTTACTTTTTTAAATTGTGTTTTAGATGAAGGTTTACAGAGCAAATTAGTTTCTCATTAAACAATTAATACACATATTGCTTTGTGACATTGGTTGCCAAACCCTCAATGTGTCAACACTCTCCCTTTCTCAACCTTGGGTTCTCCATCTCCATTCATCCAGCTTTCCTGTCCCCTCTTGCCTTTTTGTCCTTGCCCCTGGGCTGGGCTGATGTGCCCATTTAGACTTGTATACATGGTTGAGCTATGTGTATTATTGTTTATTTTATGGGCTTGTCTTATCTTTGGCTGAAGGGTGAACCTTAAGAGTGACCTCAGTACTGAATTAAAAGGCTGTCCAGGGGCCATACTCTCGAGGGTTTCTCAAGTCACTGTCAGACCAGTAAGTCTGGTCCTTTTTTGTGAGTTAGAATTTTGTTTTATGTTTTTCTCCAGCTCTGTTTGGAACTCTCTATTTTGATCCCTCTCAGAGTAGTTGGTGGTGGTAGCCAAGCACCATCTAGTTGTGCTGGACTCAGTCTGGTGGAGGCTGTGGTAGTTGTGGTCCATTAGTCCGTTCGACTAATCTTTCCTTTGTGTCTTTGGTTTTCTTCATTCTTCCTTGCTCCAGAAGATTGGGAAGAATTTGAAATTTTTTTCTACATTTTTCCCCCTTTGATCAGGATTCTTCCATAGAATAATTAATCAAACTGTTGGGTAATGGTAGCCATGCTGATGGCGATTCTTATTGGCAAAGTTATCCCTTACGAAGTTAGTAATGAAGATATCTGCTTTCACAAAGTATAAACTGATTCATTTATTCATGTACTCCTTTAAGATTTAGCCCTCCAATGACTAGAAGGTTGAAAAAGAAAGAGGAAGTAGGAGAGAAGACCACAAAGAGGATCCCATGAAGTTAAAGAAAACCAAAAAATTAGAGGCCACAGAAGTCAAGACGCGGTGTGTTTCCAGTGGGAGGGGTCAACTGTGAGGGAATGCTGACAGCTGAGATGTGTGAGAACAGAGAAGCATCCACTGGATGCTCCACGTTTTCCGCAGGATGTTTGTCTTTCATGGCAGCATTTGGTGAGGCAATAATAAGAGAGTTTTATCTCTTGGAAAGCATTCTGGAGATCTTTCATTCCTGCATGTCCCTCCCCTATTCCTAGTTGGGACAGTTGAGGTTGAGGTCCAGAGAGGAAGAGTGATGTGTGCAAGAACACACAGTATTAGATTGCATTCTCTGTCACCCCTGAGCCCCATAGCCATTCCCAGTCTATCCCCTCCCTGGCATTGCCTATGAAATCTCTGCGCTCCCATGTCCCATGCCAGCATGGTAACTCCTTTTCCTTTCACAAAGGTCTTCTTCCAGGAAGTCAGCAGCTGGTCTGGAGCTGGGGAAAGCAGAGAGGAGTGTGAGGTGGTTGGGAGGGAGCTGCAGGCAGGGCTGGTGTGTGAAGGTTTGGAGGAGGAAGTGCCTCTTCTGTAACCATCTGTCCTTGGGTTCTGTATCTGCAGCTCTGCAGGAAGCTGGAAGTCAGGCTCTCTCAGGACAGGGTTAAGATCTACAGATCTACAGGGTTCAGAGCCCTGAAAGTTTTATTACCTCCCACCATCCATGTGCATTTCATGATAAAGGAAAGCAAACCTTGAAAAACACTTGCATGTACATTTCTAATATTTCCTAAAACTGAAAAACCTGAAAGAACACCTTTAGCATGTGCAGTGCAATGAATTGCTGTTACATGGTCCTTCTAGCCATGGTCTGGTAACTCTCACAAAATGATTGGGTGGAAGTTTGCAAATAAGGTGCTTGTGGCTCACCAAGGAGATTGGACAGTCTGCTAATTCAAATAAGGTGTACACAACAACAACAGCCTTTGACCCTGCAAGTCAGACCTGGGCACTCAACAACTTGAAGGTCAGGAGAAGAGACAGTGGCAAGGAGACCAAAGGAGAGTGAGACATCACAGCAGCCATGAGATCAGCGTGCTTGAAGAGGGTGAAGTCAATTGCTTGCTGCTGTTGAGAGTTGGGTGCTGTGAAGGTGGACAAGTGTCCACTGGATTGAGTTTATAGGCAAGAAGGTTGTGGGAGCGTGATCATGAGCAGAGGGGACTCACACAACTCGACTGTCCAGCTCCATTTCTTCCTCAGGCTGTTTGTCTTTCATGGCAGCATCTGGTGGGGACAGAACAAGGGGATCTTGTTTCTTGGCAAGATTCCCTGAGATCTCACATCACCTCTCCACTTCCTAGATGGGGAGGCTAAACTGTTACTTAAAGGTGACTTCAGGAAATAGTTTCAATTCAAGGTTTGAAGAGCAACTCAGGTTCATAGTCTCAAGAACTCCTCCAGGTTCAATAGGTCCAATATGTCTGGGTTCTTTAAGAACTTCAAGTTGTGTTCTACATTATTCTCCCTTTTTGTCAGAATTCTTCTATGATATTTCTGATGATATGCTCACTTTTAATCCCTTCGTTCTAGATTTTCAGGTTGTGAAATGCTGAGAAATCTTTCTAAGCTGATCTTCTCTCATTTCTTTGGGCTCCTTGGCCATTGCCCTCAGTGCATCCTTGGTCTGCCCACCTGTCATCCACCATCTCATGTGGCCACATCATCCCATTCCCTACTCATGTCACTTACTGTGTTTTCCATGGCGTTGGTGTTGAATGAAGAGGAAGAGGAGGAGGAAGAGGAGAAGACTTACATGGGCCACCCAGTCTCTGATCAGAAATTTCAGGTACTCTTGGAGACCTTGGGCACGAGTGATGTCATAAATAAGTCAGCAATGCCCTTTTTCTGAGCACCTTCTGCATGGCAGCACATGCTGGGACCTTTGCATTCATCACCTCTGACCCTCACAACAACCATGCAACTTCGGATTGCCACCCTCCACACTGCCTGTCTTATAGATGAGGAAACTGAGGCTCAGAGAGGCCAATCATGTGTCCCAAGTCACCCAGCCAGAAGTGGCAGGGCTGGGATTGGGGGTCTCTGAATTCCCTTGTGCTTTTTTTTCTTGCTGCCCTTCTACCTTCTCTCCCTCCAGGTAGAACACCAGAAGAGAGACCTGTTCACCAAACTCCAGTCCTCACCCATCCTCAGCCCAGCCCGGCTCCGTCCCCTACTCTGCAAGGCCCTGACAACCCCACGTGGGGCCTCTCTGGACATGGGGCCTGTGTATATGGGGGGAGGGTGGAGGTGGAGGTTGGGTAGTCTACCCTGTACTGAGCATGTTGTCCTGTCAGGCCCCAGGCCCAGGAATTTCACTGTTGTGATTTCCCTGTGTCTCACAGCAGCCCTGGGGGAGGTGGTGGGAGGCCTGTTCTACAGGCTGTGAAACTGAGGCTCAGAGAGGGATCCTGACTTTCCTGAGGCCCCAGAGCTGGGAGGTGGCAGAGCTGGGATTTGAACCCAAGGTGTGGGTAGGGTGTGACTCACAAGCCCTCCTCTTTCCCTATCACCACAGTGGCTTTTGGGAAGGAGGAGTTCCCCTCAATTTGTAGAAGAGCACATATGCCCTTGTCACTGCCCTCCCCCTCTCCCACACTGTGTCACAGCTGGGGTGCTTTCACTTTTCAAGAGGTGACAAGGATCCCAGAGAGAAAAAGGAAGGGACTTTTCTAAAGTCACCTTCTCAAGAAGTGGATGAGCAAACACAGAAGTCAGCTCCTCCCAAACAAGAGACCTTTACTTACCCCTCGGTGGGTCTGATTCCCTGGGGTTTGGTGCTGATCTTTGGAGCCTCCTGGGGAGCAGGACAGGGTGAGAGGCTTTAGCCAGCTGTTCATCCTCCAGGTTGGACCCTCCTCCTCCCTCTGCTGTGACCACCCCACACCTTATCAGGCCCCAGCCCCAGAACCCCTGGGAGCCTGGGATCACCATCCTCATCTCTGCCCATCTCCCAAGCCCCCAGGACACAAGCCGTGCTGGAGAGATGAAGGAAAAGTTCTGTCAGCTGAGGGGTGAGTCTGTGGTCCCCCTGGGGAATGAGGCCTCTGTTACTCACCAGCTCTTAATTTTGTGTCTGGGTGGGAGGCTACAAAGATTAAAGATACAGGGAGAATGAGAGTTGGGGTGCCTCTGGCCTTTCCTCTTGGTCAGCTTTGATCCTCTCCAGCCTCCCTCCTCTCACCAGGAACATATCTGGGCCTCAGGGATGAGGATTGAGGATGAGGCAGGATGGAGTCGCACTGTCTTTTCCATTCCTCTGAGGGGTGGATCCCCTCTGGGTGGCCCTCCTTCAGAGGCCCTTCCCTCTCACCTCAGCCTAGAACTCCCCTGGGGACAGGGCCCTGAACTGGTCATCAGAATACAATGGGGACAGGGTCAGGGGTTCCTTACCTGAGACCACCAGCTCCAGGGGGTCACTGGGTTGTGACAACAGGTAGGGGGAGGTGCTGTGTGAGCTGTAGCACCTGTAGGTCCCCCCATGGGCTGAGGTCACAGGGCTTATGGTGAAGTTGGCCTGAAAGGGCCCCGTGTTGTTCTGCCAACAAAGGTGCTGGGGAGGGCCAATGAAGCCCTCCTTGAACGGATGGAATGTATCAAATAAGTGGTCTGAGTGACACTGCAGGGTGATGCTCTCTCCCGAGGTCACTGAGGGGCCTGGATGGGCCAAGAGGGAGGGTTTCTTACATGTTCCTGTGAGAGAAGGAGACCGTAGTGTACAGGGAGCCATCTAGTCCCCACCTCCCTTAGCTGACCACCATCACCTCTTTAGGGACTCTCCCTCTGTGACCCTTCTTTCCACACCTCTCGGTTTCTCTGTGATGGTCTCTCTCATCCCTATGTCTCTCACTCTCCTCCATGGATCAAAGTCACCATTTCAGCTCTACTCTAGGACTCTGTCTCCCTTGACCCCATCTCCACCAGGGGAGACGCTGGGCCCACATCTCAGCAGACCATCTGGATGTGTGGCTTGGCAGGGGTCCACACCTGCCACCAGGATGTACACGGATCACTGGGGACCAACCACCCAGAGAAGAATTTGTATGCACCATAGCACCTGTACCGGCCCCTGTGAGTGTGGTTCACATGGTCCAGGGTGAAGTTGGGACTGTGCTCTCAAGGCACTGGGGGTGGTGGGAGGTGAGAGTTGCTCATCCTTGGTCAAAGAAAACTTGTCATAACTGGCCTCCGAGCCACACCACAGGGTCAGGCTTACTGCAAACAGCAACAGTGAGCCTGGCTGGGCTAAGAGGGAGGGTTTTCAGTCCCTTCCTGGAGACAAGAAGACAGTGACATCAAAGAAGGCATACATCCCCACTGTCCTTGGAGCTGCAGTGAGTGCACACTGGTATCCTTCACACTCCCCTCTGTGATTCTGCCCCAGGAGGCCACTGTCACCAATCACCCCCCAACCACCAGGACTCCCCTGGGCACATGGCCTAGATTTATCATTTTGGAGCCCCCAGAAAGAGATGGGGTTGGGTAAGCAGCCCCTCACCTGTGATCTTGAGATCCAAAGGGTCACTGGGGAGTGACCACACGTGAGGGGAGGAGCAGAAAGAACCATAGCACCTGTAGATGCCCCCATGGTTAGGTGCTCACAGGGTCCACAAGAAAGGTGGCCTGGCACCTCCCAGGAGAGAACTGGGATTTCCTGTGTTGAAGAGGGTCAGCTCCTCCCTCCTTGAGCAGATGGAAAGTGTCCATTGTGTCTGTCTTAGTTATCTAGTGCTGCCACAACAGAAATACCACAAGTGGATGGTTTTAATGAAGAGAAGCTTATTTCCTCACAGTCAAAGTAGGCTAAAAGTCCAAATTCAGGGTGTCAGCTCCAGGGGAAGGCTTTTTCTTTCTGTTGGCCTTCTTCTCTTAAGTGTTCCCCCAGACTAGGAGCTTCTCGGCGCAGGGACCCCAGTCCAAATGACGCCCTCTGCTCCCGGCACTGCTTTCTTGATGGTATGAGGTCCCCCTGTCTCACTGCTCACTTCTGTCTTTTATATCTCAAGAGATTGCCTCAGGACACAATCCAGTCTTGTAGATCAGGTCCTGCCTTACTAACACAACTGCCACCCATCCTCCCTCATTAACATCAAGAGGCAGGTTTACAACATACAGGAAAATCACGCAGTACCAGGAATCATGGCCTAGCCAAACTGATACACACATTTTTTGGGGGACATAATTCAAACCATGACAGTGTCCTTTGAGCTACACAAGAGGGATGCTTTCCCTCCTGAAGCCACCAGAAAGCTTGGATGAGCTGAAAGAGAGGGTCTGCTGTAGGCTCCTAAGAGAAAAGGAGGGAGCTGAGTTAAAGGGTGGATAAAGTTACCCCACATTACCTCACAGGTGTAGTCTGTGAGGTTCCCCTTCCCCTGAGGCCACATTCCATTCTGACACTGCAGGGTCAGACTGTCTCCAGAGGGCACCAGTGAGCCCAGATGGGCCGAGAAGGAGGGCCTCCTGTACACCCCTGCAATTGAGCAGACTGTGGAATCGAAGGGGATGCACATGCCTACACTGTCCACGGAGGCTGCAGTGAGTCCACACTGGCCTTCTCCTCAGGCCCCTTTCTGTGGTTCTGGACTCAGGTGGGCAGTGTCATTGATTATCCATCACCACCAGAGCTCCCCTGGGCACACATCTTATATCAGTCATTTTGAGGTTCTAGGAAAGGGATGGCGCTAGTGGAACTCCCTCACCTGTGACTTTGAGATCCACATGGTCACTTGAGTGTGACCACACGTGGCGGGACAAGCGGGAAGAACTATAGCATCTGTAGCTGCTCCCATAGGAGGTGCTCACAGGGTTCACAGGAAAGGTAGCCTGGTGCCACCCAGCAAAGAAGTAAGATTTCCTGTCTTGGGGAGGGTCGGCTCCTCCCTCCTAGAGCAGACGGAAAGTGTCCATTGTGTCCTTTGAGCTACACAAAAGGGACACTTTCCCTCCTGAAGCCACCAGAGGGCTTGGATGGGCTAAGAGGGAGGGTTTGCTGTAAGCTCCTGAGAGAGAAGGAGGGAGCTGAGTTAAAGGGGGATACAGTCACCCCACATTTCTCCACAGGTGTAGTCTGTGTGGTGTGAGGTTCCCCTTCCCCTGAGGCCACGTTGCTTTCCCTTCTGCCTGTGAGGAGGAGCTCACAGTGAAGGGCGATAACTTGATTCCTCCCTCTTACCTGTCATCACAAGGAGCAGGGGGTCACTCCACTCTGACCAGCCACTCCGGGTGTGATATGCACACCGGAACTGCCCAGCATAGTGTATGTCCATGGATTCGATGGAGAAATTGACCTTGTCTCTGGAGTTCCATAGGGCCCACTCGTACCAGTATTGAGAGATTCGCTCTCTGTACAGATGGTAGGTAGAAGCCTACAGAGACCTCTGACACCAGATGGTCACAGAGCTCCCCTTGGTGATGATAGGGCCTGGAGTAGCCCAGCTGTAGGGTTTGGAGAGGATCCCTGGAAAGGAATGAGACCTGGAGTTCCAAGGGGTTCCTCTACCCTCAACTCCCCCAACCTTCACTTTGACGCTTCTCCCACACTGGTCACCATCAGCTCAGACCCTCTGTGCCTCCACCCCAACCCTGAGCTGCCCAGATGCATTCACTGTGCTGACCAGAGGTTGGACCTGGGAGGTTTAGGGAGGACTCACCTGTCTGTACCTGGTTCCGCTGACCCTGGCACAGCCCTGGGCGAGAGTTCCCTGTGCGAAGCTTGTCCTCACACCCACACACAGAAGTATCACTGGGGTCAGACTGGGGCTGAGAACATTCCTCCCCTCGAAGGCTCAGCTTCCTCTTTAGCCTCCTGAGTCCCTGGGATCTCCTACGGGACAAGGACCTGTGTGTGAGGAGGGGGTCCTCATTCCTCCCCTTTTTCCCCAAGCCTACCAAGACACAGAAGGGCAGTGAAGGTCAGGGTGGTGGCACTGTCTTGCATGGTTTCCAGCACTGCAGAGGAACTATAATTACCACAGAGCCTGGCATGATAGACGAGCACAGGGTGTGACAAGTCCTAGGCCTTGTGTTACGTGTCATGCAGTTTTCTCATCAGTGGCCTCGCAGGAAGGGGAACAACCCTTCTTTGTGGTCTGGCTCTGCTCTCCCCAAACGCTGGGGCTGAGGACATAGCAGACTCTCTGGGAACCTTTCAGATGAAATATGAGTGCCAATCCTGAGTCTGCCTGTTACAGAGATTGGATGAACTGGAGCAAGTCCCTTTCCTTTTTGAGCCCCCATCAATGCAGATCTTCTTCCTTCCTTCCATCAGTCAGGCAATCAACAAGTGTTTATTGAGCATTTACCACATCCAGTCATGGAGGCAGGCACTAGAGATTCATTGATGAAGCACACAGATTCCTTCCTGGATTCATGGAGCTCAGATGAACACAAGACAGACACTGAAATATTTTGACAATGGATAATTTAGCTATGGTTTTGCCAAGCTGTAGAAAAGGAGCAAAATAAAGCACAATGAGACTAACAGGTGGACATCAAGCAACCGGGTCATGAGAGTGAGGAAGACATGGAGGAGGGAGAGATGATGCCATTAGGGATTAGCACCGAGAGAGGTGAGGGGAGGACATCCTCCACCAGAAAGAGCTTGGGCTGTTGTAGGAACTGAGAGCAATCAGGGGACACTTGGTGGTGGTCACACAAGGTTTTGTGCACTATGCAAGTATTTTGGATTTTATCTTTAAGGCAATGGGAAGTTTTCTTTTTTTCCCATACAAAAATTTATACGTACACTGTTATGTGACTCTAGTTGCTCTCCCCATACTGAGACAGCACACTCCTCCTTTCCACCCCTGATTCCCCATGCCCATTCAACCAGCTCCTAACCCTCTCTGCCTTCCCATCTCACCTCCGGACAGAAGCTGCCCATTTAGTCTCTTGTATCTACTTGAGCTAAGAGGCACACTCCTCAGGATTATCACTTTATGTCCCACAGTCCAGTCCAATCCCTGTCTGAAGAGTTGGCCTCGGAAATTGTTTTAGTTCTGGGCTGATAGAGAAGTCAGGGGTCATGCTTTCTGGGGTTCCTCCAGTCTCAGTCAGACGATTAAGTCTGGTCTTCTTACTAGAATTTGAGTTCTGCACCCCACCTTTCTCCTGCTCCATCAGGGGCTCCCTGTTCTGTTCCCTGTTAGGACAGTCATTGATGGTAGCTGGGCACCATCTAGTTCTGGTCTCAGGCTGATGAAGTCTCTGGTTTATGTGGCCCTTTCTGTCTCTTGGGCTAATACTTTCCTTTTGTCTTTGGTGTTCTTCATTCTCCTTTACTCCACGTGGTTGACACCAATTGATGCATCTTAGATGGCCACTTGCAAACTTTTAAGAGCCCAGACGCCACTCACCAAAGTAGGATGCAGAACATTTTCTTAATAAGCTTTGTTATGCCAATTGACCTAGACGTCCCCTGAAAGCATGGTCCCCAGACCCCTACCCCTGCTACTCTGTCCCTCAAAGTGTTTGATTGTATTCAGGAAACTTCTTAGCTTTGGTTTAGTCCAGTTGTGCTGACTTCCCCTGTAGTGTGTGCTGCCCATCCCTTCACCTAAGATAATTTTTATCTACTATCTAGTTAGTGAATAACCCTCACCCTCCCTCCCCATCCTCGTAACCATCAAAGAATGTTTTCTTCTGTGCAATGGGAAGTTTTAAGCAAAGGATAATATGGACAGATTTCTGTTTCAGGAAGCCCACCACTATTCAGAGAATGGAATGTAGGAGGGTTCTACTAATAATAAACAATAATAAAACTCCAACATTAATTTAAGCCCTGGGTGAAGTACCAATCACTATTCTACATGATTACGTGGATTTCCTATGTAACGGTTATACACAGTTTATCACAGAAATAATTTACAGTTGATTGTAATGAGATAGGAACATTTCTTGGTCTTTATCTTAGTCTAGGGGGTTGGAAAGAAGTTTGCTATGTTCAAAGTGGCTGAAGGAGCACCCCATGAAAAGGCACAAAAAAAATTGTTAAATAGTTCAGTGTGTGTGTGTGAGTGTATGTATGTATAATTGTGATGACTTTGATGGGGGGGGTCCTGGTGGTGCGGTGGTTAAATGTTTGGTTGCTAACCAAAAAGTCGGCAGTTTGAATCCACCAGCTGCTCCTTGGAAATGCTATGGGGCAGTTCTACCCTGTCCCATAGGGTTGCTATGAGTCGCAATGGACTGATGGAAATGGGGTTTTTGGTTGGGAGAAGGGAGCTACGTTTGCTGCGGCTGGAGAGTTTTATCTCAGGTCTGATTATCAACAACTTTAAATGTCAGGTGGAGGTACTTGGATCTTATTTTGAGGAAGATGGAAACTTGTGCAACAATTGAACCAGGGAGGGAAAAAGCCAGGTAGCGTTGTTAGAAGATCTCTCTACAGCTGCAGTGGGAAGAATGTACTGGAGTAGGAAGTGGGGAAACTGAGAGACGGGGAGCAGGAAGGAGGCTTTGTGATGGTATAGGCAAGATGTCCTCATCTTCAGCTGAGCATGGAATGTGGTGAAGGACTCAGGGACATGGCTAAGGAGGTTCAGGGGGCAGAACTATTTAAATTTGATGACTGAACGTGAAATGGAAGAGAGTAAAGAATTGAGGGCTATCCCACTGTCTTCCTTGATTGACTGCAGAAGGCAGTGAGACCATCACCGAGTGGATGAGCCCGGGTGGAGAAGAAGGTATGGGAAGGTGTTTATAAGATTGTTCATTGTCTCCCAGAAGAAAGTACAACTTTTCTTCCTGGTTTGGGATTGTTAATTTTCTTTCTTCTTAACTTTACCCCTTACTGACTTCCCTATTTCTGTAAGTAACAGCTTCCTTCTCTTCATCACCCTCCTTCAAACCTCTGAATTATTTCTGCATCATCAGTGCCTCTTTATCCCCAGGAAGAACTGTCTATCTTATAATGTGGGTTCTTTCTTCAGGAACTGCATAAGAGCACTGGTTGGAGGGAAATTCAGAGAGATTAACTGAAGATGCAGCTGTCACATTTACTGTCAATCTTGAGCGGGTGACTTCCCTTTCCTGAGTCTCATTTTCCTCCTTACAGTAAGGTGATAATGACTTCTCTCAGAGTTGTTGTGAGGAACCAATAGGGCCTGAGATATGGAAGGAGTGCAATCTGGAGTGATCTCATGGTCCAGATGAAGACAAGTGGATGCTGAAATGATCATGGTATCAAACTTCACATCAACGGGCTTATTGAAGTCACACCACAAACAAAAAACAAACCAGTTGCCATAGAGTTGATTCTGACTCATGGCACCCCTATGTATTACACAGTAGAACTACTCCATAAGATTTTCTTGACTGTAATCTTAATGGAAGCAGATTGCCGGCCTTTCTTCTATGATACTGCAGGGTGGGTTCAAACCACCATCCTTTAGTTTAGCAGTAAAGAGCAAACTGTTCGCACTACCTAGGGACCTTTGTTAAGTACATATATTATAATGTCTAGAATAGCTACTTAGGTACTATACAAAAAGTTGTAGTGAAAACATTAATCAGTAAATTAAAATGGAATACTAAAAAATTTTCAAAAAAATCCAAAAGAAGATAGGAAATGAAAAACAGAACAAAAAATACAGGGACAAAATAAATAAATAAATAAATAAAATGGCAAACCTTATCACAACCTTATCAGCAATGACATTATAAATGGTCTAAACACAGCAATTAAAGACAGAGACTGTAAGATTAAAAACAAAACAAAAACAAAAAATAGACTGAAAACATAACCCAGCTATATGCAGTCTCCAAGAAATTCATTTAAATATAATGATGTCAATAGGTTAAAAGTAAAAGAATGAAAAACATACTATTCTAACAGTGTATAAATAGTATATGCAAAATAAAACAAAAAAGCTTAAGGGGCTGTATTGGATTTCTCTTTCTGTTGTGACAAATTATCACAATCTTAGTGCTTTAAAACAACACAACTTCATTATCTTACAGTTCTGGCAGTCAGATGGAAAAATCATTCTCACTGGGCTAAAGTCAAGTAATAGGGAGACAAGCATCTATTTCATCTTGGTCTAGAAATGGAACTCAGAAGTGCAATTGATTTGTTTTTTATATGGACCATGTACCCAGTGACATTGGAACGTTCCTTTTTAAAATTTGAATAATCAGTCTTTATATTGTTTTGGATTTTCTAAGTACACAGTTGTATAATCTATAATAGTTTTATCCCATCCATTTCACTGCTTAGCTTTTTTTTTTTTTTTTGCTTCATTTAATTGGTTGTTGCCTCCAGTGCCATGATGAATAGAATGGTCACAGTGAACGCTCTCGTCTCATTCTCAATCACAGGGGGAAAGACTTCAAGTTTTCACCTTTAAAAATGATGCTGGTTGTAGATTTTAAAATATACTTTGATAAATTATAGGAAATTCTCTTTTATTTTTGATAAGTTTTTATTTTCATTAGTAACTGATGGTGTATTTTATCAAAAGCTTGTTATGTATCTATGGAGATGATCATTTTTTATTCTGTTAATGTGCTGAAGTATACTGATTGATTTTTGAATATTCAACCATCTTTGCCTTCCTGAAAACAACAGTGTGATCATGATTAACCTTTCAGTATATTGCTGAATCTTATTTGTGAACATTTTTTTTCTTTTTTCTTTTTTTTTTAATTGTACTTCAGCTGAAGGCTTACAGAACAAATAGTTTCTCATGAAACAGTAGTACACATATTGTTTTATGACATTGGTTAACAACCCCCCAACATGTCAACCCTCTCCCTTCTTGACCTTTTTTTTGGTGAAAAAATACATAGCCAAAGATACACCATTTCAAAAATTTCTACATGCACAGTTCAGTGACATCGACTACGCTCTTCCAATTGTGCTGCTATTCTCTCTTTAGATGAAGGCTTACAGAACAAAATAGTTTCTCATTTAACAGATAGTACACTGAAATGGATGGGATAAAACTATTATAGATTATACAACTGTGTACTTAGAAAATCCAAAACAATATAAAGACTGATTATTCAAATTTTAAAAAGGAACGTTCCAATGTCACTGGGTACATGGTCCATATAAAAAACAAATCAATTGCACTTCTGAGTTCCATTTCTAGACCAAGATGAAACAGATGCTTGTCTCCCTATTACTTGACTTTAGCCCAGTGAGAATGATTTTTCCATCTGACTGCCAGAACTGTAAGATAATGAAGTTGTGTTGTTTTAAAGCACTAAGATTGTGATAATTTGTCACAACAGAAAGAGAAATCCAATACAGCCCTATGACAATGGTTAACAACCTCACAACACATCAACACTATCCTTACTCAACCTTGGGTTCCCTATCACCAGTTTACTTGCCCTATTCTGCCTTCTGGCCCTTGTCCCTGGACTGCTGTACCTCATTAGTCCCATTTGGTTTTATGGGGCCGTCCACTCCCAGGCTGAACGGTGAACCTCAGGGATGACTTCACCATTGAGCTAAAAGGGTGTCTGGGGGCATACTCTCGGGGTTTCTCCAGTCTCCTTTAGGCCAGTAAATCTGTTTTTTTTTTTTTTTTTGTGAGTTAGAATTTTGTTCTACATCCTTCTGCAGCTCTGTCCAGAACCCTCTGTTGTGATCCTGGTCAGAGCAGTCAGTGGTGGTAGCCGGGCCTCATCTAGCTGTACTGGACTCAGTCCGGTGGAGGCCTTGGTAGCTGTGGTCCGTTAGTCCTTTGGACTAATCTTTTCCTTGTATCCTGTTCTCTTCATTCTCCCTTGCTCCGGAAGGGATGAGACCAGTGGAGTATGTTAGATGGCTGCTCACAGGCTTTTAAGACCCCAGATGCTACTCACCAAGGTAGAATGTAGAACATTGTCTTTATAAACTGTGTTATGCCAATTGAGCTAGATGTTCCTCGATACCATGGTCCCCAGAGCCCTCCACCCAGCAGTTCGTCCCTCAGGGAGTTTGGATGTGTCTATGGAGCTTCCATGACCTTTCCTTGTACAAGTTGTGCTGGTTTCCCCTGTATTGTGTACTGTCTCACCCTTCACCCAAGATACCACTTATCTATTACCTATTTAGTATTCCCCAGCCCCCCAGCCCTGGTAACCAACAAAGATTGTTACATTTTGTGTGTAAACTTTTTCATGGGTTTTTACAATAGAGGTCTCATGCAATATTTGTCCTTTTGTGATTGACTTATTTCACTCAGCATAATGTCCTCCGGTTTCGTCCATGTTATGAGATGGTTCACAGATTCATCGTTCTTTCTCATTGCATAGTACTCCATTGTGTGTATGTACCATAGTTTGTTTATCCATTCATCTGTTGATGGGCTTCTAGGTTGTTTCCATCGTATTGCTATTGTGAACAATGCTGCCATGAACATAGGTGTGTGAACATTTTTTAGGAACATACATCTAAGTTTATGTGAGAGATTTTCATGTTTTATAGTTTTCTTGTCAGATTTTGGTATTAATTTTTTCCTAGATTGATAAAACATGTTGGGGAGCATTCCCTCTTTTCCTGTTTTCAGGGCAAGTTTGTGGAAATTTTGTTTGTGTGTGTGCTTCAGAGATGGGTAAGTGACTGGAAGAAACCAATCGTGAATCTTCCTGAACCTGGAGTTTACATTGGGGTAAGATTTTAAATTACAGATTCAATGTATTTAGTGTATAGAACACAATTCAGATTTTTAAATTGTTAAGACTATTTTAGTGAGTTGTATTTTTGATGATTTTGTCTATCTTAACTACATTTTCTAATATATTGGCATAAATTTGTTCATAAAACTCTGTTATTATCTTATCTCGAAAGTCTGTAAGATCTTTAGTGCTCTCCACTATTTCATCCCTAGTATTGGTAATGTGTGCCTTCTTTGTTTTCTCCTTGGTCAGTGTGACTAGGATTTATACATGTGATTAATGTTTATGAGAATGAGCTTTTTTTTTTTGGCTTTTTCTATTTTTTGTTCTCCTTCGCAATTACTCTCATCATTATTATTTCTTTCAGTCTACTTTCATTGAATTAATTTGCTATTTTTTCTAACTTCTGGATATGATAGCTGAGGAAATGGATTAAAAAATTATATTTAATTGTGCTTTTCAGTGAAGGTTTACATTAGGTCATTGATTTTTAGGCTTTTCCTCTTGTAATATTTTCAGTTAAGATTTGTAATTTTCCCAATTTATCTGTTTGTTGTGTAATATTTACATTTATCCTTTCACATCTGTTTTATTCTCTACTTTAGCTCATTGATTATTTAGAAGCATGTTGCTTTATTTTCAAAATATATTGATGTTAGTAGTCTTTGACTGCAGAATCAGGTTTCTTCAAAATATTTCCCAGAATCTCCTGGTGGTCTGTATCAGGAATTCACTAGTTAGTGACCATAAGCAGGTCCTGTGCCTTCCAGGTTCCCTGCTAGCCACATCCTTAAACGTGGGGTCTGGGTTTTTTCTGGGCTAATGCATGGTGAGAGCAGCATGCATACTGGGACCATCTCGGGGAGTCTCATGTCTAGGAGGAAGGGGGTGCGGTTGTCTCCTGTTTGAGTATCAAGCAGCTCAGCTGGGCATAGTCACATCATGGGGGTCTTCAGTCTGAGGGTGGGGTAAGAGTAAGAGACAAATAGTGGTTTGTGTGGGGGAAGCCTGGAGGAATGGAAAGGATGCACCTGACTCTTTGTCTGCCTGTCCTCTTCAGTTGTCTGTCCTTCATGTCCTGCAATTCCCTGGACATGGATGAAGGAGAGGAGGCCACTCCCCACCCAGTTCTTGAATGGCATATGTCACTGCCTGGGGGTTTTCATCTTCAAGGCTCTTCTGGAGAGAAGCAGTGAGGGGAGACTGGTCTCCTCGATTTCACCCTTGCCTTCCCTCAATTTTTCACACTGTTGCCAGAGTAATTCTTGAAACATTTAAATCAGATATTTTCAGTCCCCTGCTGACATAAAACCCGAGACTCTGCAGAACCTGGTCTCTTCCTGTAGTTCTGGCCTCTTATCCTAACACTCTAACTCTTATTTGTCTCCAGCCACATGACCCATCTTCCTCACTAAGCATGTTCCTGTCCAGAATCTTTGCGCTTGCTCTTTCCTCTGCCAGGGTGTGCCTCTCTATTAACTGCTTGTATGGTTCTCTCCAATCAGGTCTCTCCCCAAATGCCACCTTCTCACCACTGCTCCCTTATAATTCAGACTAACTCTCCCTGATTCCTTGTATATTGTTTTATTTTTCATAACAGCACTTTGCACACTTGGACACTACTCATGTATTTGCATTTTGTCTCTGACCTGCTAGAAGGTGAGCTCAGTGAAGATGGAGACAGGTTTGCTCACTGCTGTATCTGAAGCACCTAAATGGAGCCTTTATAAATGGTGAGCTTCCTCTAAGTATTTGTAGAGTGAATGAATGAAGGGAAGCAGAGGAGACTTTCAGGTTATTCATTTCTTCATGCACTCCATTGAGACTTGGAGCCCTATACCTACTAGAAGGTCAGACAGAGGAAGAGGAGCTAGCAAATGGGACCATGAAGAAGGGCTCCATGAGGTTGCAAGAAAACCAGGAGGCAGTGAGGTCACAACAGCCAAGAAGCGGCATTTCTAGAGGGAGAAGTCAACTATGGGATGATGCAGAGAGCTGAGAGATGTGAGGACAATAAAGTGTCCACTGGAATAAATTTGTCAACAAGAAAGTTTTTGGTATTCTGGCAGAAGCAGGGGACTCACTCAACTGTCCAGCTGTTCATGTACTCAGGCTTTTTTTCTGTCACGGCAACATCTGGCAGGGCCAGAACAAGAGGGCTTTATCTCTTGGGGAAAAAACAAACAAAAAACCCAAACCCGTTGTCATCGACTCTATTCTAACTCAGAACTATAGGACAAAGTAGAACTCCCCATAGGGTTTCCAAGGAGTGGCTGGAGGATTCAAACTGCCAACATTTGGTTAGCAGCCGAGCTCTTAACCACTGAACCACCAAAGCTCCTTATCTCTTGGAAAGTTATCCTGAATTCCTTCAGTCCTGCATGCCCCTCCCCTGTTCCCAGAGTGGCATTTGAGGTTCAGAGAGGGACAGCGATGTACCCAAGGTCACACAGTATCGGGTTGCATTCTGTGTCACCCCTAAGCCCCATAACCATTTCCAGTCTATCCCCTCCCAGGCATTGCCTATGAAATGTCTGTGCCCCCATGTCCCATCCCAGGATGTCCCCTTCTCTTCCTCTCACGAAGGTCTTCTTCCAGAATGTCAGCAGCTGGGCTGCAATTGGGGGAAGCAGAGAGGATATGTGAGGTGGCTGTGAGGTGAGTTGTGGGATGGGCTGGGGTCTAGAGGTGTTGGTGGTGGAAGTACCTCTTCTGCAGTCCTTGTCCTTGGGTTCTGGATTTGCATCCCCTTCAGGAAGTTGGAACTCAGGCTCTCTCAGGACAAGGTTAAGATCTACAGAGTCTAAGCCCTGAAAGTGTTATAATCTCCCACCCTCCACGTGCAAGTCAAGATAAAAGAAAGTAAACATTGCAAAACATTTGCATGTATCTTTCAAATATTTCATAAAACTTAAAAAGCTGAAAGAACACCTTCACTACCTGCAGTGCAGTGAATTTCTATTATATGGCCCTTTCAGCCATGGTCTGGTAACTCCCACAAAATGATTGGGTGGGACTGTGCAAAGAGTGTGGCATCAGGATTGGTGGAAGACTCATTAGCAACCTGCAATATGCAGATGACACAGCCATGCTTGCTGAAAGTGATGAGGACCTGAAGCACTTACTGATGAAGATCAAAGACTACAGCCTTCAGTATGGAATACACCTCAACATAAAGGAAACAAAAAATCCTCACAACTGGACCAATAAACAACGTCATCATAAATGGAGAAAAGATTGATGTTGTCAAGAATTTCATTTTACTTGGATCCACAATCAACATCTATGGAAGCAGCAGTCAGGAAATTAAACGATGTAGTGCATTGGGCAAATCTGCTGCAAAATACCTCTTTAAAATGTTAAAAAGCAAAGATGTCACTTTGAGGATTAAGGTGCACCTGATCTAAGGCATAATATTTTCAATCACCTCATATGCATGAGAAAGTTGGACAATGAAAAAGGAAGACTGAAGCAGAATTGATGCCTTTGAATTATTGTGTTGGTGAAGATTATTGAATATACCATGGACTGTCAGAAGAATGAACAAGTCTGTGTTGGAAGAAATACAGCCAGAGTGCTCCTTGGAAGCGAGGATGATGAGACTTTGTCTTACATACTTTAGACATGTTATCAGGAGGACCAGCCACTGGAGAAGGACATCATGCTTAGTAAATAAGAGGGTCTGCGAAAAAGAGGAAGACCCTTGATGAGATGGATTGACACTGTGGCTGCAACAATGGGCTCAAACATAACATAATAGTGGGGGATGGGACTATGCAAATAAGGTGCATGGAACTCTTGGAGGGGATTGGTCAGGGAGCTGAAAGCCTTTGGGCAAGAGGCTTCCTGGAAGAGTAGGATGCCTCTGGACACTTATCAGCAGAGGTAAACAAAAAGCTGTAACACTTGCTCAAGCAGGGCAGAGGCCAGGCCCAAGCACAGGCCAAGACCAAGAATGAAGGTTGAGGCTGAGATCAAGAGGCTGGGCCTGAGCAGGGCCTGGTGGCAGAGGCCTGCCTAAGGCCAAGGCCAAGAAGACGCTTTCCTGATTGAAGAAGTGTGCCATGAGTTGTTCCTGTTCCTTCTAAATTGATCCTGACCCTGAACTGTAGCCTGTTACTTCCCTAAGAAAACTTGTAATTCTGAGTAGAGTCTGAATTTTGTGTGGCCTGTGCAATGAATTATCAAGCCCAGCAGAGAAGTAGAGAGTGCCATGGGAGGGATGGCTGGCCTTAGAATTGGTAAAATGGTTTGAGAGTGTAGGTATGTCTGACCTCCATCTCAAAGGAGTCAGCTTTGAGCTGCTGTTGATGTTGATTCTCTCTCCTCCCACTGAAGTTAGAAGAACTCTGACACTGCCATTTTATACTATGTTTATGTACACGACTAGGGAAGAGCTGCCTCTTCAAAGTGAGTCAACCTTAATGATGTGGATGGAGTCAAGCTTTAGGGACCTTCATTTGCCAATGTGGCACAACTCAAAATGAGACCAAACGGCTGCAAACATCCATTAATAATCAGAAAATGGAATTATGAAGTATGAATCTAGGAAAATTAGAAGTTATCCAAAGTGAAACGGAAGGCATAAAGGTCGATATCCTAGGCATTAGTTGGCTGAAATGGACTGTTATTGGCCATTTTGAATTGGATAATCATATGGTCTACTATGTCGAAAATGACAACTTGAAGAGGAATGGCGTTGCAATCATCTTCAAAAAGAACAGCTCAAGATCTGTCCTGAAGTATAATGCTGTCAGTGATAAGAATAATATCCATAGGCTTACAAGGAATAATCAGTTAATATGACTATTATTCAAATTTACATGCCAATCACTAAGGACAAAGATGAAGAAATGGAAGACTTTTACCAACTCCTGCAGTCTGAAATTGATTGAACATGCAATCAGGATGTACAGATAATTACTGGTGACTGGAATGAATGCGAAAGTTGGAAACAAAGAAGGATTGGTAGTTGGAAAATATGGCCTTGGTGATAAAAAGGATGCTGGAGACTGCATGACAGAATTCTGCAAAACCAACGACTTCTTCATTGCAAACACCTTTTTTCACCAACATAAACAGTGACTATACACGTGGACCTCACCAGATGGAATACACAGGAATGAAACAGACTACATTCGTGGAAAGAGACAATGGAAAAGCTCAGTATCATCAGTCAGAACAAGGCCAGGAGCTGACTTCGGAACAGACCATCAATTGCTTATATGCAAGTTCAAGTTGAAGCTGAAGAAAATTAGAAAAAGTCCATGAGAACCAAAGTATGACCTTGAGTATATCCCACCTGAATTCAGAGACCATCTCAAGAATAGATTTTGATGCATTGAACACTAATGACCAAAGACCAGATGAGTTGTGGAATGACATCAAGGATATCATACATGAAGAAAGCAAGAGGTCATTAAAAAGACAGGAAAGAAAGAAAAGACCAAAATGGATGTCAGAAGAGACTCTGAAACTTACTCTTGAACGTGGAGTATCTAAAGCAGATGGAAGAAATGGTGAAGTAAAAGAGCTGATCAGAAGATTTGGAAGAGTGGCTCAAGACGACAAAGTAAAATACTATAATGACAAGTGCAAAGACCTGGAGTTAGAAAACCAAAAGGGAAGAACATGCTTGGCTGAAGGAACTAAACAAAAAATTCAAGCCTCGACTTTCAATATTGAAGGATTCTATGGGGAAAATATTAAACTATGCAGGACGTACCAAAAGAAGATGGAAGGAATACAGAGTCACTGTACCAAGAAAGAATTGATCGGCGTTCAGCCATTTCAGGAGACAGCATATGATCAAGAACCGATGGTACTGAAGGAAGAGGTCCAAGCTGCACTGAAGGCATTGGTGAAAAACAAGGCTCCAGGAATTGATGGAATACTAATTGAGATGTTTCAACAAATGGATGCAGCACTGGTAGTGCTCACTTGTCTGTGCCAAGAAATTTGGAAGACAGCTACCTGGCCAACCGACTGGAAGAGATTCATGTTTATACCTATTCCAAACAAAGGTGATCCAAATGAATGCGGAAATTATCGAACAAAATCTTAATGTCACGTGTAAGGTAAACTTTGCTGAAGATAATTCAAAAACTTTTGCAGCAGTACATCAACAGGGAACTGCCAGAAATTCAAGCTGAATTCAGAAGAGGACATGGAATGAAGGGTATCATTGCTGATGTCAGACGGATCCTGGCTGAAAGCAGAGAATACCAGAAAGATGTTTACCTGCGTTTTATTGACTATGCAAAGGCATTAAACTGTGTGGGTATTACAATTTATGGGTAATATTGTGAAGAATGGGAAGTCCAGAACTCTTAATCATGCTCATGAGGAACCTGTACGTAGATCAAGAGGCAGTCATTTGAAAACAAGGGGATACAGCGTGGTTTAAAATCAGGAAAGGTGTGCGTCGGCGTTGTATCCTTTCACCATACTTATTCAATCTCTATGCTGAGAACATAATTCGAGAAGCTGGACTATATGAAGAAAAACAGGGCATCAGGATTGGAGGAAGATTCATTATCAACCTGCATTATGCAGGTGACACAACCTTGCTCACTGAAAGCGAAGAGTACTTGAAGCACGTACTGATGAAGATCAAAGACCACAGCCTTCAGTACGGATTACACCTCAACATAAAGAAAACAAAAATTCTCACAACTAGACCAATAAGCAGCATCATGATAAACAGAGAAAAGATTGAAGTTGCCAAGAATTTCATTTTACTTGGATCCACAATCAACACCTATGGAAGCAGCATTCAAGAAATCAAATGACGTATCGCACTGAGCAAATCTGCTGCAAAAGACTTCTTTAAAGTGTTAAAAAGCAAAGATGTCGCTCTGAGGACTAAGGTGCACCTTACCCAAGCCATGGTGTTTTCAATCACCTCATATGCATGCAAAAGCTGGACAGTGAGTAAGGAAGACCAAAGAAGATTTGATGTCTTTGAATTATGGTGTTGGTGAAGATTATTGAATATACCATGGACTGCCAAAAGAATGAACAAATCTGTCTTAGAAGAAGTATAGCCAGAATACTCCTTAGAAGTGAGGATGGCGAGACTTCATCTCACATACTTTGGAGATGTTATCAGGAGGGACCAGTTCCTGGAGAAGGACATCATGCTTAGTAAAATATAGGGTCAGCAAAGAAAAGGAAGGCCCTCAATGATTGACATAGTGGCTGCAACAATGCGGTCAGCATAACAACGATTGTGAGGATGAAGCAGGACCGGGCAGTGTTTCATTCTGCTGTACATAGGGTTGCTCTAAGTCGGAACTGACTCCATGGCACCTAACAACTCTGTGTGCTGACATTAAGCATTTTCCTTCTAGATTTTCAGATTGTGAAATACTGGCATAGCATTTCTAAGCTGACCTTCTTTCATCTCTTTGGGCCCCTTGGCTGGTGCCCTGAGTGCATTCTTCTTCTGCCCATGGGGAACCTACCACATCATGTTACCATGTCATCCCTTTCCCTACTCATGACACATACTACGTTTTCTCAGATGTCAGATAAGGATGAGGAGGAGGAAAGGGAGAAGGACAAAGGCCATTGAGACCCTGATCAGAACATTCAGGTACCTTTAGAGAACTGGGGCACAAGTGATGTCATGAATGAACAAATGATGCCCATTAATTGAGCACCTACTGCATGCCAGAAACATGCTGGGATCTTTGCATTCATCATTTCTCACCCTCAAAGCAACCATGCAACATGGGATTGCCACTCCCCACCCTGCCAATTTTACAGATGAGGGAGCTGAGGCTCAGAGAGGTAAATCATATGCCACAGGTCACCCAGCTAGGAAGTGACAGAGCTGGGTCTTGAACTCAAGACTGTGGGTTCCTTGTGCTCTCCTCATGCTGTCCGCCAGGGAGTGCCAGCTTTGAGCTCTGTGGCCCCTTATCCGAGAGAGGAGGACTGTCACCCTGGTTCCTTCAGCTGGAGCTTAGTCACTTTCCTTATTACCCTCCCCTTTCCGAACACAGAAGGCAGCTGGGAACCTGGGGGGAGAGGAGGCTGCATGGGGTGGACGCTGTATCTCTTCACAGCCCAGCCTGATCATCTCC